CAGCAGTCTTTCCTTCACATATTTAGGTGCTCCTGAGTTGGGTGCGTAGATAGTTATAATCATTATGTCTTCTTGCTGGATTACCCCACTTACTATTATATAATGCCCTTCTTTGTCTCTTCTTACAGTCTTTGTCTTGAAGCCTATTTTGTCTGAAATCAGTATTGCAACTCCAGCCTTTTTTTGATTTCCATTTGCATGGAATATCTTCTTCCAGCCCTTGACTTTTAGTCTATGTATGTCTTTATCCATAAGGTGAGTTTCTTGTAGGCAACAGATAGAGCGTTATTGTTTTTTTTTTTTTTTAAATCCATTCTGCCAGTTTATATCTCTTAATTGGAGAATTTAATCCATTGATATTCAATGTTATTATCGATATTTCTGGCCCTGTTCCTATCATTAAGTGAGCCATTTTCTTGGTTACTTTTTGTTCTCTTATAATGATCTGACTTTTTAGTTTTCCTAAATCCCATATCTTCATGAGATGATCTTAGAGCACTGTTGTAGTTAAATTAATAGAAGATCTCATAAGGAATTTCCAAAGGTCTCAGCTACTTACTTGTCCTTCTTGAGTTCTATTGATATAAGGGGAAATAGAGACCACAGCAACACATTTTTAAAAACCCCATTTATTTATCTATTTATTTGCCATGATTTCTAAGCCGCCAGGTCTGGGACTTGAACCACAGTTGGGTATATGGGAATCCAGCACCTTAACCACCACATCACCTGCTGGCTTCAGCTATTCATCTTTAACACTTCCTCTTCTCTTCTAACCTTTCCTCTCATACTGAAGCTGCTCTCCAATCTTCCTCACAATAGCCTGCTCCAAAAAATCCCTCTATTCCCAATCACTTCTAGCCCCTGTCCTTTTACCCTACCCACTAGCATTTTTACTTTGCATTACAAGGTTCCATAGAGCTAATTTAGCAAAGGAGGACCATCAGTGGCTGTGAATATGATAAGAGTCAAGACAGAATCTTTGTGAGCATGAGAGGAGAAAGGCTACGAACTAATATACATAAAACATTTTTCTTTTATTAGGTATTTCCTGTGCACCTCTTAAATATTTTACTTTAAGTTGCCATATGCTGGATTGTGTTGCAATTTTTGGGGAAGGAAGAATTGGGCTGTAGTCCTCATATGGGTGACTCTGCAGAGTGCCCACACCTTGATTTGCCTTCAGTATGCATTTGCTCTCAGTTGTGTCTGTCTGGGTGGAGAGTTGTTATTCTAGACCATATCTTTCAATAACTGTTTTTGAGTCCTGGCAGCCTACTTCTGGGATGTATTTGTGGTGGCTTCCTCTCACCTTGAGGGATGTCCTCTCTACTGGGTACTTTTTGGGTGGCTCTTACTTGTCCACTCTTTTTAAAACAGTTTTTGTGCCACAGGACATACATTCTTGCTGTAGAGAGACAAAGAGAAATAGAAAGAGGGAAAGTGAAAAATCATCCCAAGTGGGGATGACCAAGCTGAAGTCCCTTCTGTCAGAATTTTGGGCACACATATACATATACTCAGTGTGATTTCCTTCCACTCTTCTTATGCTCTCTTCTGGAGTAGATCTTTCAAACATTTTTTATTTATTTTAAAATTATGACTTCTAGTTTACAAATAATCATTGTACATCTTTGTATGGTACAGTATGGTTTTTAAAAGCATGTATATTGTGTGTAAAACTTAAAGATATATGTGTATTAAAGTGTTCAACATTGAACATTATATAATGTTGTACATATTTGAAAAGAATTATGCTAGTTTTTATTTTGAAAGAACATATTGAATTGTCAATTTTGTCTGTTGTTTATTTCTCCTGAAGCCTACTCTTGCTTCTCCTGCCTCAACCTTAGATCTTCTGCTCTCTACCTTTCCTTTCTCTCCTCCACCTGCCATATTGTTTTCCATAGTGGCTGTACTAATTTACATTCCCAGCAGCAGTGCACAAGGATTCCTTTTCTCTGCAACCTCCTCAACACTTGTTATTCTTTTTTTTTCTTTTCTTTTTTTGGTCATAGACACTCTGACTGGGGTTAGGTGACACCTCATTGCAGTTTTGATTTTCTTTTCCCTTGTGACAAGAGATGGTGATTTTTTTCCCATGTGTTTTTTACTCATTTGTATGTCTTCCTTTGAGAGTTATCTGTTCTAGTCAACTGTCCATTTTCTGATTGGATTATTAGATTTTTTATTTTTTCAATTTTTAGGGGGAAATTTTTGCTATAGGGCATGTGTGCTTGCTGGAGAGACAGAGAAAGACAGAGAGACAGAGACCAAGAAATCACCTCCCAGCGGAATGGCTATGCCACAATCCTTTCTCCATCATTTTCCTCTTGGGATCTTGAGCACACATGTACATACTCCCAGGGTGAGTTTCAAGCCACCAGGCACAGGATTCAAACTGCAGTACACTACATGGGAGTTCAACAATGTAACCATTATGCTATCTGCTGTTCCCAGATTATTAGTTTTTTTAAAAAAATTTTATTTATTATTATTATTTTATTTTATTTTAGTTTTTTTTTTTAAATAATTTTTTGCTGGGACCAGCAGTTAGTGTAATGGCTATGTCGCTGAACTCCCATGTAGTGTACTGCAGTTTGAATCCTGTGCCTGGTGGCTTGAAACTCACCCTGGGAGTATGTACATGTGTGCTCAAGATCCCAAGAGGAAAATGATGGAGAAAGGATTGTGGCATGGCCATCCCCCCTGGGTGGTGATTTCTAACTTTCTGTCTCTCTCTGTCTTTCTGGCAAGCGTACGTACCCTATAGCAAAAACCTCTCCAAAAATTTTTTTTTTTTTTGCTGAGTGAGCTATACGATTTTGTTATATAATCTGGTTGTCAATCCTTTTTCTGAAATATAGTAAGCAAATATTTTTTCCTATTCTGTGGGTTATCTCTTTTTTTTTTTTTTTGCTGAGTGAGCTATACGATTTTGTTATATAATCTGGTTGTCAATCCTTTTTCTGAAATATAGTAAGCAAATATTTTTTCCTATTCTGTGGGTTATCTCTTTTTTTTTTTTTTTGCTGAGTGAGCTATACGATTTTGTTATATAATCTGGTTGTCAATCCTTTTTCTGAAATATAGTAAGCAAATATTTTTTCCTATTCTGTGGGTTATCTCTTTATAGTGTTTATTGTTTTCTTTGCTGTGCAGAAGCTTTTTAGCTTGATGTAATATATCTTGTCTGTTTTTGGTGTTGTTACCTATGCTTTAAGGTCTTATTTAAGAAATCTTTGCATATTACAATATCTCAATGTGTTTCCTTTGCATTTTCCTCATGTAGCTTTATAGTTTTGACCTTTACATGTAAGTCTTTAATCCATTTAGACTTAATTTTTATAAATGGCAAGAGATAGGGGTCTAATTTCGTTCTTTTGTAAGGAGACATCTATTATTGAAAAGACTGTCATTTCTTTACTGGATTGTCTTTTGACCTTTGCGAAAAATAAGTTAACTATATGTTGTTGAATTTATTTCTGGATTCTTTATTCTGTTCCATTGGTCTATATGTCTATTTTTATGCTAGTGCCATGGTGCTTTGGTCATTATAGCTTTGTTATTTATTTTGAAGTTAGGTAGTGAAATGTTTCCCACTTAATTCTTTTTGCACAGTATTGCTTTGGCAATATGGGGTCTTTAAAGACTTCAGACAAATTTTATGATTGTTTTTTATATTTATGTAAAGAATGCTGCTACTATCTTAATTGAAATTACATTGAGGTCAGCCAATGGGATGGTGGTTAAGATTGCTGAATCCCACATGGCCAACTGGGTAGTTTGAGCCCTGTGGCTTGAGAAACAAGATGAACGTGTGTGTATACATGCACAAAATCCTGAAAGGAGAATGGAGGAGAAGGGATTGTGGCATGACCAGACTTTCTTACTCCCTTTATCTCTTTCCAGAAAGTGCACACAGCCTTTAGAAAATTAAAAGTAAATAAATAAAAAGAATAGAAAAAATAATAGAAATTGCAATCAACTTTTATATCATTGGGTAGTATTGACATTAAATTATGTGGACTTTTCCAATCTATGAACAATGGATGTATTTTAAAATAATTTTCTCTATAGAGATCTTGCACTTTCTTGGTTAGATTCATTATAAAGTTATTTATTTACTTATTGTAGCTATTATAAATTGGATTGGTTCTTCATTTCTGTCTGAGCTTGTTGATCATTGGAAAGGGTCTTAACTTCACACATTCAGTTAGTGATTTTGGTTCAGAGGCTATCTTATTACAAAGTGAGGCAATTTGTGGGAGTAACAGTACACACAAGAGGGTAAACTACAGCTACAGAGCCTCAGTAATGAGTTCCTCACTAATTATAGCACCCCCTTCTTTTTTTCACCTTCTGAGCTATCCTCTAGCCCATCCTGGGCTTCTCTTTAGGTGCAACCCCACAGGTGGATTTTCACATTTTCTCCAGCTCCATCCCTAGCTTCTTGATCCAGTCTTCCTGTTGATTTTCTCTTCTCAAAAGAATTTACCTTTGCTTGCTGTCCCTTGATCTCAAACATTTCTTTTTTTAAACAAAGCATTCCTTTATTATACATGGAAGTCAAAGTTACATGGTCACTGTAGAAATTACATAAGTCCAAAAATTTCAAAGAAAAACTGTATAATTATCCATAATCATTAAAACAACCACAATTAGGGTTTGGTAAATTTCCTTCACTTTAACATAATTGAAAATATACCAGGTAGTAGGGGGAAATCTGGGCTTGTGAAGGGCCATGACACGTAGAACCTGCAAGAAAAGCTCGCAGAAAACGAGGTTCTGCGAGGAGGGAGGCTCTGCGGTCTGCGCGGTGTATTCCAGTGGCTTAGCGGTAGATCCGTGCGGGGAGCCGACGTTCCGGAAAGGGACTGAACCGGGTGTACACAGATTGTGACTGTATCTATTAACTCTGTAGCTGGAACCAGAAGTGTTTGTTTAATGAATGACTTATCCATTTAGGACCTACTTAGACCCTGAGGATAATCCTGTGAATTGCTAATAGTTTGTTGGGTCTGACCCTTAGTATTAATTTCAGCACGTTGAGACGAAAACCCACGCGACTAGAGCTAAAGCTTGATGACATTGAAGAATTTGAGAGCATTCGAAAGGATCTGGAGACCCGTAAAAAACAGAAGGAAGATGTGGAAGTTGTAGGAAGCAGTGATGGAGAAGGAGCCATTGGGCTCAGCAGTGACCCCAAGAGCCGGGAACAAATGATTAATGGTCGAATTGGTTATAAACCCCAGCCCAAGCCCAGCAATCACTCCTCTCAATTTGGAAGTTTTGAATTTTAGAGACGGATTATTTCGCATGCCAGAACCCTGGAATGGAATAAAATGATGGCAGAGGTACAAACCAGATTTAGAGTATCAAGTGCTTATTATGAAGCACAATGTTTAACCTCCTGCAGAGAAAAATATTTCTGCATGAGATTACTCATGCTCAACTTTCGCTCTAAGCTGGAATCCAGACTATGGTTTGTCTCTGGAAAATTTGACTCTAAACAATTATCTGACTCTTGTTTTTAAAAATAAATACATTTTTGGAAAAAAAAAAAGAAAATATACCATCTAGCAGCAGTAACACAACTGGACCTATGTATGAGGGTCCTGGGTTCACTTCTCTAGACCTCCCTGTGCATGTTGGGCATGAGTGTGACTAGGTGAGACTAGGAGTGGGTCCTAGCATGGAAGCCCTGTTTGGAGTGTCTCTGTATCTCTCTGTGTCTCTAATAGGAGAAATAAATAAATTAAAAAAAGATTATATGAAAAAGGAGTGAGAGAGAAAATATGCTATAATTTAGATATGTATTTGAATTTTTTCCTCCTTATCTTTTACTCTAAGTTAATCTATGCCAACTCTTAATGAAGTCATGCAATTATTATTATATTATTTGTGTGTGACTGTGTGGGCATGAGCAGGCATGTATGCACACATGTGCATGCACACACACACACACACACACATTCTCTCTTCTCTAACTGGTCTAGGTTGCTATGCAACCTAATTCACAACACTGTATTTAGGCTCCCTTTTATCAGATAGTTATTTTTCCCTTACCTGTTTTGTTTCTTCTTCTTAACCTTTACGGGTGTGTATGGTTTCTGGTCAATTAAAGGAATTATATATTGATTAAAGCCTAACTTTAAATTGGGTAATAGGTAGCACTAAACATATAAAAGGGAGTCCTACTTCTTCCTAATAGCCTTATTGGTTCATTTCCTATGGTATCTGAGAGTTTGTCTCCACCCTCCCCTAGCCTTGGCTCGATTGCTTATTCCTAAATGTCCTCAGCCTTCATAAATTGCTAGGAAACAAGGTCTGAGCACCTAAAGAGAGTTTCCTGTTTTTCTCTTGTAAAATGACAGTGAGGAGATTTGATAAAAGCTGAATGAATTTTTAGTCTAGGATGTTCTGTTCTTAAGCTATAATTGCTGTTTTTCTTTTAACTCTAGAAGTGATTTGCTGAACAAAAGAAACTTTAGTCTTCATGCGTGTATTATTATTTTAACAAAAAATTCTCCTTTGAATGTGTAATTTAAAAAGGATTTATGCATAATTGAAGGTGATTTTTATTTTGTTTTGGGATTGGTTTTATGTGAGTCTCATGGGGGAGGATGTAATTTTAAGGTGAATTTTCTGGGACACATTTATTCCACAAAGTCAGGCACACTTGACTGCCGGAAACAGAGAAGTCTATGAAATACCCACTTTAAACACGATTTTAGAATTGAAAAATGTTAAATCAAATTTTTAAGGTAGATTACCTAAATGATGTATATTTGATCTTCAAAAGTTAATATCACTGGGATAGCATAAGAAAATAAGGATTACATGGTAGTTTGCAGGCATTTAGGTTATTTATCACAAGCTTCCAAAAATTTAGAGATACTAGTATTTATGGCCATACCTGGGAGAAGTCTAATCTTGGGTTCTATAATAAGAGAGTTATCAGACTCCTGAAATATTCAGACAAGAAACCGTTTTAAAGCCGAGATGTGTCCTGGCATATTCAGGGAAGTTGTACTCTAAACTCCATCTCCTAGACTCCTGAAATATTCAGACAAGCAAGGTAGGGTGACCCCTGTCTTTTCTCTGTCTCTGGCTCTGTCTTTCTATCTTGCACTCTCTCTCTTTAAATTTTTAATTTCTTTCTTTCTTTTTTTTTTTAATTTTCCAATCACTTCTCCTCACCTCAGGCCTTTTCTTTCACTTGCTAATTTCAGAAGCCATTTAAAAACTGAGGTGTGTCTTGGCGTGTTTGCATAGTACACTAGTGTGCCACCAGGTTTTCATTTTTTATGTGTAAAAAATTTTTTCCCCTGCTTTTTTTGTAGTATTTTTCTATTATTTTTCCTTTTTGCTATGCCTATTTTTTTAACCTTACTTTCCCACTCTAAGCTTCACTCTCCACACACTGAATGTCTAGATAGGCCTAGGTGCACCATAGACAAGCATCTGAATACTTTGAGTCATTGAAATCCTCACTGGTTATTGAACCTCTTGCTCTAATGAAGAAATTTCTTTTCACAAATCTGAACTCCTAATCTTTTTGTGGATACCAAATTGTGAAACACAGTGGAGGATAGATTTTTGTCACAGAATGGCCAGAAACAACTGCAGAAGCATAAGAAACATGAGAAATCAAGAAAATATCTCTCCCCTTAGGGAAAAGAACAATCCCTCATCATCCACCAACAGTACAGTAGAACTCATGGAAATGTCTGATAGAGAACTCAGAATATTCGTGGTGACAAAACTAAATGAGATGCAAGAGGTAAGAGATAATGAGCTCCAGAAGATGCAGGAGAAAAGAGACAATGAGTTTCAGGAGGTGTTGAAGTTCTCCCACGATCTGAAAAAGGAAATACGCACCATAAGAAAGAGTCAAATGGAGCTATTAGAGATAAAGGCTGCCATTCAGGAAATCAAAACCTCCCTTGAGGGAACCAGCAGTTGGCATAATGGCTATGTCGCTGGACTCCCATGTAGTCGACCGCGGTTCGCGTCCCGGACCCGGTGGCTTAAAACTCACGCCGGGCATGTGTGCGTACGTGCCCAAGATCCCGAGAAGAGAATGGAGGAGAAGGGATTGCGGCATGACCATCCCCCCTGGGGGGTGATTTCTCGCTTTCTGTCTCTATGTCTCTGTCTGTCTGGCAAGTGCACTCATCCTATAGCAAAAATCTCTCAAAAAAAAAACCAAAACCAAAAACAAAAAAACTCCCTTGAAAGCATTAAAAGCAGATTAGTCCATGCAGAAAATCAAATCTCAGATATTGAAGGCATAACCTCTGATCTAGAAAAAACAACCAAAAAAACTGATAAAATATCCCCAAAAATGAGAATACTGTACGAGAAATACTAGACAGCATTAAGCACGAAAATATCTGGATAATCGGTATCCCAGAAGGTGAGGAAACTAATAAGGGCATTGATAATCTATTTCATGAAATCTTAGAAGAAAACTTTTCAAATCTAGAGAGGCATTCAAATATCCAGACTCAAGAAATGCAAAGGATCCTTAATAGAATCAACCTAAGATCTTCAAGGCACATCATAGCTAGACTGGCCAAATCTACAGACAAAGACAAGATACTAAAATTGGCAAGAGAGAAATGTCAGGTTACTTATAAATAGGTTATCCAATCAGGCTAACCTCAGAGTTCTCATCAGAAACAATGCAAGCAAGGAAAAAATGGAAACATATGTTCAAAGTGTTAAGTGAAAAACAGTTTCAACCAAGAATACTATACCCGGCAAGATTATCTCTGATATGGAAAGAAAGGATTAAAAACATTCTCAGATAAATAAGACCTGAAAGAATTTGCCAATAGCAGACCCACTCTTCAAGGAGTTCTGAAAGGAGTATTGTACTAGGAAAACTAAAGACACATACAGAAATAAGAGAACAAAAGGCAACCAAGAAAATGACCAATTTAATGTTAGGGACAAGAAATAGGAATAATAACATTGAATGTTCACTTCCAGGATTTAAATGGAAAGATTGGACCACAGTAGCACTGCATATTCAACAGAAGAGAGTTTGAACATAAGACCGCAATCATGAAATAGAATTTTATGACTTTTTGAGTGAAACATTACTGATTTCCTTTTTTACTATGCTTTGTTTTCCCAATTTAAACATTTTACTTTCTTTTGAGTTGTTGATAGGTTCAGCAATTTGTTAAAATATTTTTCTTGTTTGTTTCTTTTTTTTCTTTTTTTTCTTTTACATTTTTTTCTTTCTTTATTTACATTCATTCACTGTATATCATTATAGCATACAAAATGAGATTTTTCCATTGAGAATACACTGTATATTGGCTCAATCAAGCACATCAACATATGTGTTATTGTCAACAAATCATTTTCCATTTCTTGTTTTCTGTATATTTTGCCTTTTTTCCCATCCTTGATTCCCTATCTCACCCTCTGCCATCTCCCACCCTCCTCCCACACTGTGTCTGGTATCTATTGTTGCTTTCTATGCCTCCCCCATTTTATTGTTTCACTAAATATCTTAATAAATCTAAATATTTTCAATAGCAAGCACAGCTGATATGTACATATCCATGAACACAAGACTGACTTTAGGCATAAACCTCAGTGAATAGAATGAACATACTGTAAAGTAGCACCTAACTAGGGCTATATAGCTTAACTGCAGTCATCAAATAGGTATTTCTAGTGCCTTTTTTTTTCTTCTGAATTTTTTTTTTTTATTAATTTACATTCATTCCCTGAGCATCATCACAACATTCTAAATGTGGTTTCCCATCTAGAATATACTATATAGTGGCTTAATAATGCATGTTATCATCCATAATATTCCATTTCTACTTTCATATATATGTTTTTTACCCCATGTCTAGCCCTCTGCCCTATTCCACTCTCTTATTACACTATCTCTGCTGTCTACAGTTGTCTTCAATTCCTTTTCCCCCAACATTTCGTTGATCACACAATATCATAAGTAATCTAACTACTTTCAATAGCAAGATCAGCCGATGGTTTCAAGAAAAGCAGTTTTGAACTGGTAAGGATATTTCTTTGAAACTTAAAGCCTAGAAACAGGTTAGTATTCTGTTCAAATAGTCGGAACATGAATCTATTGATAGCTGAAGACAGGACAAAAGTCCTTAAAACCAGACAACAAAGCTTAGAAGAAAAGCAGCAATATTTTAGTCAAGTCGTAGAATACTGTTTCATCAGTTCAGTCTCATGTACTTAATCTTTCTTCTGTATCTGTTGAGGTTCGATGTTCCAGATTGAAATCTGGGATGTAATACTCAACTCCAGCTTTTGG